TGCCTGTTGTCTTTACTTGCCTTTTGTTCTGTTCTGGGTTTTTTGCTGGTGCAGGACAAATTTGAAGCTTGTACTTTTGCATACGTACTAAAAGAATCCGTTATTTCCTTAAGCTTGTATAAAAGCAGGTGCATCTCAGGAATAATATTAATTGAAGCAATGGGTAGACAACAGCCAGTCACAGCTTAGCACCTCCAATATTAACTTTATTTCAGGTCTCCGATAACAAGACATACCTGATCTTCTTATGAAGGACCATACAGCAACCTTGGATATAAAAAACTTTAGAAATACACAGGCTATCTGTAGATTTTATGTAAAATGAAAAAAACCCCAAACGCCGGAGTGTGCTACATACAGAGAAGAGTAAGTGCAAAAGTGTTCCTTACTACCACTAGTTTGCAAGCAGACTCTGTTCATTGCTCTACACCAGACCACACTGCTTGCACATTCATCTTATTTGGATGGCGTTCAGATGCTGCTCTGCACCTTAGCCTAAAGAAGGAAATCACTAGAAAACTAAGAACAGCAGCCTGCTTTCTATGTGGATCAGAGCCAAACCAGTTTATCAATCCCTGTATTCTTTAGCTGGTCTCTCGGCAGTTCAGGATCCAGTTTTAACCCCTTACAGATGATAACACACTTTATTACAAAGAGTTGCATACCTTCAGGACATGGCATCCATGCAGATATTGGGGCGAGGTGAATGTCAGAATAAACAGACAACTATGCATCATTCTGAAACTACGCTGAGATACAGACCTGGGAATCACAGGGAATAAATCGAGTCTATTCCACCTAACTCAAGAAGTGTCCTCCCTAGCTTCAGACTGAGTTTTGACATTTACCTTCTGTATGAAGTATTCGCAAGAGAACTAGAATACAAATAAATTAGTTATGCTTTAAACAAGAGTAGGTAGAGATCCAAAACTGAGAATGAATTATCAGTCTTCACTGCTGTCAAACTAAGACAGCATATTGCTAACTTTTACCTCCCCTAATCAGTAACTCTAATGCTACTTTCTTCTCCCAGCACATGTAGCAGAAAAGCCATATGGACACTAATAATACAAACATTAGCACAATAAAACTACATCACTGTTAATCAGTCTGAGTACACAAAGGTGAAAGTCCAGTCAAGTCTGGAGCCAGGCATTAGTCCTGCCCAGTTTTAATCATGACTCATATTTGCTTGTAATTATATAGGTTATTAACACATTATATCTTTGCAATAGCAAAACAGATCCCCAGAGGCATTCTGTCTTCTGAAGCTTTTAAAATAAAAATTTCACGAACTCTCAAGAAGTTGGCAGCAGATTAAAGAAAAAAGCACAAAGACAGAAGACATATTTCACTCATAGTTGCTGTTACCTTTACAAAACAAATAAAATCAGCTGGGGTCATCATCTTGTGTATCCACCCCAAAGCTGCACTGAGGGGTTAACTATATTTTCAGATTGTTCCTGTCTCCAGGCTCCTGCAGACAAGAGTCCAGCTCATGAACACAGAATCCGCCTGGGACTATGCTGCTGTATGTTCATAAAGTTCCCTTCATCCTCTATTCTCCCTAAAATCTGCTGCTTTGTCTTTACGTATTCAAAAAGGAAGAATAATAAATATAACAGATTTTAACTATGAGGTCTTCCATGTAGCTATGTAAGGTCCTTGATGTTTCTTGCCTGTTGTTCAAAAGCTAAATTCTGGTGGAAAAATTACATCTTTTTTAATCTACAACTTCACTTTCTTGAGAAAAACGACTCATGCACTATTCACCTAATGCCACTAGAGAGGAACAAATATGGCAAAATGTCTCCATACACCTTATACTATTAATATATACAGCAAAAAAGTGACCAGCCTGTAGGTTCCTTCCTTCATAATCTGAACTCACCATATCAAACACAGCCTCATAAAGACAACCTGGAACTGGATAACCCACCTTAGTTTAGCTTAGCTTAGCTGTTACTTAGCTTATCTTTCCTTACTTAGCTTAGCTGTTACTCATCAAGCTATATTCTGAAGCAGACTTGGAAAATAGAATTGATTTCTTAGTTCACAATCACCCTAACACTAATTCCATGAAGCAGGAAACAATCAGTATAATGTGGAAGTAACACAGAATAAACAAAGCAATGTGATAATGGTTGTATGTTCAGAATGACTGACGACCTCACTAGTGGCTAGGTGTTGAATTTCAGTGAAAAATTAGGTCAGAATGTTCCCTAGAGGTAGATATTCTCAGTATTTCTTTAATAGAATAAGTCCTGTTAAACTTTCAGGAACTTCGATAGCAATCTGACTGTTCAGACACTGCAAATAACCCCAAATGACAGCTTCCAGATTTAGCTTCCTGTCTACAGATACTCATGAGAATCTCTGCCTTCTTTCTCTCTCATTATGCCAGTGGCACACAGCTCATACACTACTCCTGCCTCTCTATGAAATGAGGATGAGGCCATAGGGATAAGAGACTGTCACACTTTCATTGTAGTCATGGCTTGTTTCGGGACCCTGAGCTGCTTTGCAGAAATGCTGACTTATTCTCCCTTTTACTTCATCTCAAGGGATTTGTCCTGAAGAGCTTGAGCCTACTGCACAACACTATCTACAACTGGTATTCTCTTACAGCTGCAGTACTAACCACTAGTGAACTGCTTGCTGGACAATCTGGTTGAAAGTTTGCATACTGCCTGGCTCTCTCTTCCTTTGATTATCATCCTTACTTTTGTTAGATCACTTGTGACACCTTTATGTGGTTTTTCTGCAGAGCTCTGTGGCTATCCTCTGGTCGTCAGAGTCCTATTCAAGCTTCTCAGACATTTTTTAACATTTGTATGTGTGTTTATACAAAGGTTCTTCCTGGTTCCTCTTTTATCTCTGCATCTTTTCTCAGCCTTCTATCTTTAAATGCTTAGAGTTTATTTTGTAATCTGCTTGATGACTTGTGTCTCCAGTTCCTCTAGCTGATATCTAAGATGCTAAATAAATGTCAAACAGCAACCCCAAATAAGTTGCTGATGAGCGAAATCAGGGCCCTAGTATAAGTAATCAATGGAGAGTGAAGAAGAAAAACTGCTATTCCTGCAGGAAGGACCAGAGTAGTTTCTGAGACACACTGGGCACAACAGCCTCTGATGCATACCAGTGGCTTGGTGCAAAGCTGAAGAAAGTATCATTCCCCAGTTTCCAAGAAGAAACATTTTGCTCTAGTTAGTTAAATCACTGCAATATTTAGCACTGTTCTTGGAGCTATACACCTCTTCTAGCAACAAGGAAGCTTTGGGTGACCCACCCCCAATGGTTCTGCTAGACTACCCCTAGCCAAACTGGCTCAAGCTCTTGAGGACAAACCCCTTGAGATGAAGTAAAAGGGAGAATAAAAGTCTAAGTCCTCACATACTTGGTTTCAGCTTCATAGAGTGTAAGTTCAGTAGAGTGCAGCTAGCCTAGTCCTACAGAAGGAAACATGAACTTACATTCTGAGTTCTCACTGGATTACAAGTATTCCCAGAGAGGGTGACTACCTTGAACTAAGGTTACCTAGCCTATATTCTTGCTGCAGCTCTGGCTATTGTTTTCATCATTAATATTACGAGCAATCTTCATGCATGCTCTGCAAAAATATTCACAGAAACAGGGAAAGATAGAAAAATGCTACCTACATATATCACAGAGACACATCACAACAGTACCCAGAGGAGATGGAAAGAATCTCTTGCAAAGCTTAAAATTACAGGGGGGCAACTGTGAAAGTGCTCTTAACACTGAAAGAAGACACAGAATTCAGAATACAAACACCTTCATGTAAGTCTACTCAGTAAACCAGTTTGGTCAATATATTGAGAAATCCATTTTTACATTTACTTCTAAAGTTATGTGTAAACTTGCTTCATTTACTGTACCAAAATCTCAGCTAGAACTATACAGTAGACCAGAACTTTTGCCTCAACTATACATGTCATAGAATCATAGAATAGTTAGGGTTGGAAAGGACCTTAAGATCATCTAGTTCCAACCCCCCTGCCATAAGCAGGGACACCACACACTAAACTATGTCGCCCAAGGCTCTGTCAAACCTCGCCTTGAACACCGGCAGGGTTGGAGCATTCACAACTCCCTTGGGCAACCTATTCCAGTGCCTCACCACCCTCACTGTAAAGAACTTCTTCCTTATATCTAATCTAAACTTCCCCTGTTTAAGTTTAAAGCCATTACCCCTTGTCCTACCACTACAGTCCCTAACGAAGAGTCTCTCCCTAGCATCCTTGTAGGCCTCCTTCAGATATCGGAAGGCTGCTATGGGGTCTCCATGGATATACTACACTGTTGACAATTTTAATTTATTTTTATAATCCCATTATATTCCATGCCTATACTGTCCTGTTCCTATGTGCTGTAGGGTCTTTTAATGACTATGGCCATTCACCCTATAAAATTTTTGGTAGGATAACTGGAGCTTTTGGCAGGTGGGAGAGTGTGGGAGGCAGTTTGGATCTGTATGATAAGTGCATTAACTGCATGTCTGTGCTAGAGGACCAGCAATAAAATCACTGGCATTAATAACGGAAATCTCATCTTTAAGTTTCAGAGCTAAACATCCAAGAGATAAATTGGGTAGTTCGCTCTTACGCAAACTTTTCTTTCAGCCTGTGAAAACACAGAGATCACTGCTTTTTAGTAATACTCAAATCATGTTTTCAGGGTTTTCACAGCAAAACAGGAAGTAAGAAACATTTCTTAAAGCATTCTAGGCCATAATTCGTCCATATATTCTATTACGGCACTATCACAAATTACTGTGGGCCATGGGTAATGCAGGTTCATCAAAACTACACTTTGCCTGCATCAATGAAAAAATGGATTAAGTGCTCATTAACAGCAGATAAACCTGTTTGAATTAATTAGCTACTACAGAATGATGAAGATTTGGTTCTATAAGTCTTAGTGATTTTCCTTTGGAAACTTTCACCTCTACTGATTGACTTCACTATGCAGCTGATTCACAAGTGGCAACTATGTCTTTCTGAATTGAGGGGCTTTTCTGCAAGACAGAAGAAAAATGTAAAGAATGTCCTGGCCCTTTAGTACAGGCCAGGCTTAAACAACAGAGCATCTTTGAGCCAAAGCCTAAAGCAAAGCAGAGCCATTTTAGCCAAGTTTTTTTTCCCAGCCACATTTTTAGGGCTCTTACTCTTCCAACTCTATGAAACTCAGCCTTCACTCCCTTCTATTTAGTCTTTTTAATCCCAGGGGGAATAAATTCCCTGCACAGCTGAACCCGGACTGTTACCTAGGAACTGCTACATGCAGGGTAGGCAGCTGTGTTTCTTCTTCTTGCTGAGAAAGTTTTTCCCTGCCAGTTCTTGAGAAAGTTGAAAGCATCCCAGCATACCCACCCCCACTTTATTGGTCTTCAGCACTGGGACTCACCTGTGGAATTTGTCCCTGGCTCACAGGATGCATCACTGTTCTGGAATCGGTTCAGCTGCCTTTCAATGGAAGACACCCTAACAGATAAAAGCATCAAATTAGACAGAGATAAGGGACACACCAAGAAAGAATAGAAGTCTCAAACAACAACAACAACAACAACAACAACAACAACTAAAAAATTGAGAATTCTCCTAGTTTACATAATCTCACTGGGATTGTATCTACGAAGCTGTGCCTCAACATGGTATGAAAAAGGCGGTGACAGCAACCAACTCCAACACAGCAGAGCAAGACAGATGAACACTCAAGCCACCAGTGTAAAACACTTAATTATCCCATGTGCCTTGGAAGCTGATTCTGGAGAATAGAAGAGATAATAAATGGCATTGGATCACCAAGGTACAACTCAGCTAGTAATGCTGTGATCACCTTATTCCAGTGACTTGAAGTAAAATGATTAAGCAGCCTTAGAACAAAAATGCACACGCTGGCAAACCACGCTACATTCAAAAGTCTTTGCATCTTGTCTCAGCAGAGACAGCTCATTTAGACAAGATTTCTCACTTGTCTTGGAAACTGAGACACTGCATTTAATCTCCAGTAGTCTAGTGCCAGTCCTCAAGCAGATGCTTTATGCAAAACCTCAGCATTTGAGTTACAGTGAAACTATATTCTGTGGAGTACAACTGCACTTCCTTTAACTCTTACAAAGATTCATTACCAAACTGAGACCATGCCCTCCTACATAAAAATGGTTCAGGGCAAAGTCAAGTTATACAGCTACAATGATCTATTATGTCATTAAAATCTATATAATTGATCCATCTATTCCTGGTTTGTTCTCTCCTCCATATCCCTCCTGCCTTTCTTCTGCCCTGCCCAACTCTACAGTGATCACTCCAGACTTCTGCATGCACACTTCTGCCTCTCTGCCAGAGTCCTTCACTCATGCAGCTCTGCAGCATTACACAGTTACTGTGAGCTCTTCTCCAGAAGAGCACTGTACTCTCAAATCCCCATGTGATGCCCTGATGACTAACAGACCCAGGCACACATGTGCAGTTTCTATAGTTTTGTCTGAAACCTTTTGCTTTCAGATTTCAAAGTCAGCAAGCTGTCAGTAATCCAGGTGCTCCTGGCAGCTAAAAGGCCAGTGACGGATTCCTGTATTTATATGTCAGTTGGATTTTAATGAAATAAATTGGAGTCCATACCGGCAGGGAGGGGGATGCAGATATGACATTTGCAAAACGTAACTCCTTACTTCAGTCTGTCATAATTTGAAATGCTATGGTCAAATGAGGTGCCTGTTTCTATATTTATTGTGTCTCAGAGAGAATTTTGGATCTGTACTTATGGTTTCTTTTGCTGCTGACACCGCATGGTCCCTCTGGGAACTGAGAATCCACATGGATTTTAATGCTTTATACATAGATATTTCATGCTCATAATTAGCTTGTCCCCTTTGTTAACACAGCACAACTGACAGTCAAATTTTGTAGGTAAAATGCTCACCCTTTGTAGGTAAAATGCAAGACTAGTGGTTGAAAATGTCATCAAGACTGCCAGCAAGTACAACAACAAAAAAACCCAAACAGGGAACATTCACACTTCTACTTTGGAAGTGTGATTTATGTTTAGAAAATCTCTTTCTACAGACTTGCCCTTCTTCTTTCCTGCCTACACAGAGTGCACCTTGATTCTTGCAGTTTCAACCTGCACCTCCATGCAGCTCATTCTCAGATCTGGTTCTCAGTCACTGATCTCCCACCACACTAAGCTTACCTCTCTTCCATCTCTGCTGTTCAGATGGAGGCTCCAATGCCAGAACATACTGACTGCTTAAACTTCCCACTTTCTTCCTCCTTGGGTTGGCTGAAACCCTACTGCCTTTCTCAGTTTCCTGCTTGTAATGTCTGTGTTGTTTCTGCTTCCGCTTCTCTAATACAATCCATTGTTATGTTCTCCGTTTCTTCTTCAATACCAACAAAAACAGTCCCCACTGTCCCCTTCACTTAAATATCTGTTATCGCCCTTTTCTCTCTCTTATACAGTTATCCCCTCCTTGAAACTTACACTGACTTCTTTAATTCATGCACTAAACCAGCTTTAAGCTGCCAAGCCTACTATAAATTTGGAGGATGCTCTTGTTCCTCAGGTGACAAAGAAATAGTTTCCTAACTAAAGTTTGAACAACTTTGTTTTAACACCCTATTGCTATAGGATGCTACCAACACATTTAATGATCCTGGGGGGATAGAACTGACGCTAACAAATTGACATCACAAAACCCCAGGTTTGACAAGAGGACAGCAACAGATGTGAATACCCAGAGCCAGGGAAGCTTGTTCCTCTTTGTTGCTCTTGGACAGGATATCTCTGCATGTGTATCTGTGTGTATGATCTGAGGCTAGCCAAGGGCTAAGAGCTGCAGGCCTAGTGAGCCCAGCTGTGTCAGGGTGTTAAATCAAGGCTTGTTGCTCAGATGCACTGCTTTTGCTGCCAAAAATGTCTAATAAGGGTCAGGCAGCCTGATTAACCCAGATGCTCAGGAGCTAAAAAAACAAGTGTGTCGCAGTACAGCAGTAGCAGAGAAGTGAAAGGGGTTCCAGTAAGTTACATGCTTGCTCTCTTGCTGCCTGTCCTCTGTTCAGTGGGCACTCAGTTTGTATGTGTACCTGGTCCACTTAAGACACTTCATGTGTGCCCATGAATAAGTACACTTAGGCAAGACAGGATACAAAGCAGACCATAGTATTTTATAGGCTCACTCTGTGGCCATCATTCTACTTTTGGCACATTTGCCAGACTTAGCCAGCCTGACCTAGAACAGCTGGCTACTGCAGCATCCAGTTGCAGTCAGGACTCCACCCCGCCATGGGATGGATTTCCTGAACCCTGGAAAAATGCATCACCTCTACCCTATTTCTGTACTAGTTACAATAGAGCAGAACTTTGGCTCTTCTGCTGATGACACCATGCAAACAGAATACACAAAGAAAGAACAAGGTAGAAAGATTTTGTGCTGTGATGTTGGGACTTGAAGGAAGTATTTCTTTTGAAAGGCTTCCTCCATAGAGTTCTTGGAAATGACACTTACAGAGAAGTTCATTACATGAGATTATGCCGTGTTGGTCAACATCCCCAATAGTTTGTGATGTTCCAGTCTATTGCTGGTAAACTCTGTGATCTTCTTAGGCTCTCTGTCTCCCTCATAACATCTGGAACTATGGTCATTTTCTCTACCCAGCATTTCCTCTCTTTATATGCAGTGGTCTAATGTTGATTGCTGAATTTTCCTGATGTCTTTTCTTTGATTGATAATTCTGTTCACAGGCTGTTCAACTTTGCTCTACTTGATGCTGTCATAGTTAGAGAGCAGATTTCTTAACAGTTAGGAATGATAGCACTGAAATTTGTATTTATTACGACTTAGTCATTCCTAAAAGCAGAAAGATTTTCTGTCTCCCACCTGTACCAGTTCACTCTGGGTTCTGACAGTTGAGCTAATATATTTTTCTACTTCGCATGCTGTCATCCGTAACATGAAGTTTCAGCACACCAAATGCTACTTCTAGGGATATCTGCTTCATTCCACAGCTTACGAATATTGTATCTGTGATCTCTGTCTCAAAATGTTGCTCTCAGCAGGTCTCATCATGGTCCATGGACCTGCCAATAGCAGTGACAACATGAGCAGTGGAAAGGACCTAGTCTGACTCTTGGAAAGAAAGAAGAGCTTGTTGTGTTAGCTGTTCAAAAACTACCATCTTTCTGCTTGTGATATGAGCACATTTAATCAAAACTATGGAGCCCCATGAGACCATTTTATGGGGCTACATTTCAATGTGGAGCAAAACATCAAACCATTTCTCCCACCTAGTCTTTTCCACACCTTAATATGGGCCTCAGTTTTCCCCTCTATTAGCTTAAGCAAGGATCCTGCTTTGGCCACAATCCATTATAAAGTCAACCTACCACCTTTTACAAGTTGGGAGACTGAGAAAACAAGAGAGGCCAGGAACTGGAAAGACAAGACTGAATTGTCTGGCTGTTCCATTACTTTTTTGCTTTATGTTTTAACCAGGTAAATGTCCAAGTTAGTAGATAGTTTTTGGATTAGTAATGTTCATCTTTAGCATCCCATTTCTGTTTGTAGTTGAGTTTTCTACTTATTCTTTTCTTCCTCCTCTGGAAGCCATGTGTGCTGGCTAAGGGAAAGTTGACAACACATGCAAGAAAAGGATAGGTCAAAGAGACAAACTTGATCTTAGCTTGTCTTCACAGTCCAGTCTCTGGAGAAGTTCTACAAACAACTTTTAAAATATGATCTTTATTAAGATGTTAAATAAAAGCCAGGCAGTGCAAGAGCAGACAGAGAAATAAAGTCTTACCTACTGAAATATGGGGGGGGGGGTCCGGGAATTAAGAGGGACATGAGAAAGAGTGGGGGGGGGGGGTGCGGGAATTGAGAGAGACACAAGAGCTTTAACAACAGAACAGGATTAGTTTCAGTGAGTCTTGTGGAAATAATACATAGTACTGAGTGAGATCTTTGAGGAAAGAGATCAGGAAAACAGCCAACAAGTATTAGGGGGTGAGAGTGGGCAGCAAATCAAAAATGACCTGACAGAGAAATGAAGCAGCCAAAAAGCCAAAATTAGATTAGATGTTATGAAGAGAGATATTTGCCATTGTCATAACGTAAGGATATGGTAGTCTTACACTGGAAAAGGACAATTCTGGGTGCCACAGTGCAGGAACTCTGACAAACTGAATAAAATACAGTAAATTCAAGACAAGTAAGGACTTGGCAGGTGGAACTACTATCTGAGGTTAACAAAACCTCAACAAGTCTAAGCAATGTTAAGGTACTCCAAGAAGTAGAAGGATATTCAAAAGATGGAAAGTATTTGCAAGGGAAAGTGTTTAGGGTGGTTCACGAAGGAGGAACAAGATGCAACAGGATGAAACAAAGGAAAAAATCAGATCACCAATCAGGATAGACTTTCTGATAATAAGGCTGTCCGGATTCTTAAATAGTCTTCTACAGCACATGGTAGGGTTTGTGCCACTGGAGGTTTTTGAAAGGAGGCTATGCACAGTGCCTGAGAATACTTTGTACAGAATAACCAGGAACTGTAAAGAACAGGCTGGCACATGAAAAACATCTTTTTCTTTAATCTGTATTCCTTTGACACAGAGGCTTCTCCCCATTCACTCTCCTCTGTCAATGCATCTCTGGTCTTTTCCCGACAACAACGAATGGATTAAATTAGACTGAGACATAGCAGTTCTTGAACAATATGATTAGCTCTCAGTATGCTGGAAATATAGGTGGGCACCGCTGTTTTCCATGTAAGTGAAAAAATATTACTGTAAGATCCCATGAATGGTAAGAATGGGTTTGGAGTCCTGCACTGGAGACTGAAAGGCCAACTTGGAAAGCATTTCCGGAGTGGCTCCTTGCAGCCTTCAATACTTGGATTAGTTTTCTGAAATTCTAAAGGAATCTTTTGCTTTTTTTCCCCCTTCTGTGCATTTTTGGTGCTGAACTTTTTCCGGTTTTCCCACACTCCTGCCTGTCACAGAGCAGAAACCACAAAAATGCAGTAAAGTCAAGTCTGTCCAAGGAGCTGCAATTCCATCTCACAAGGATAAACATTTCCTCTGCCAAGAAGTGAGCACAGCACACCGGCATCTTCAAATACACATCTCTGCTGCCCGGCAGAGAAACCCACTGACATAGCCTGTCACCTGTACTAACATGAGCTGCCCAACATAAGAGAGATCAGATAGCAAACCCACCAGCATATACCTGCCAGACCTGATGCTCACACCTGCATTTGCTGAGTTGACAAAGTCTGCTAGCATCTTCTTTTCTTTTAAAATAGTTCTTGGGGATTAATTCAGTGTGCTATCTCTTAAGATAGCAAGAGTACAGGCAGGAAACACACAAGCTTCTCCAAAGTAGTTCTGTCCAAGCTCCTTAAACACACTTACAGTTCCAGATTTGATCTGCACATGCTGACAGTGCCCTAGCATCTTCATAAGGTGTCTTCTATCAGCAATCTTTTACTAAAACTTCTCTCTTTAGACAGGAAGGGAGCACAGAATCAGGAAATTTATAACTTTTCTGGCTGTAGATTAAGTACAAGGAAGGAAGTTATGAATGCAGTTTTTACTCTTCAGTATTCAGAGATGAAACAGGTCTGAGGATATATGAGGAAAAACCTGATGAAGGATTTAGTCTAAAGCAGTTTTCTCGTTTAAGAGGAGGTAATTGTTGAGGAAGCTACCAAGAAAAGTAAGGGATAAGAAGAAAACCCAGGAGTCTTGTTCACATTCTCTCATAAAGCACAAAAGAGAAGACACACCAAGAAATGGAAAGGAAGGAAACTTACAATCAGCAAGCAACATTTCATAATGGGTTGGGGTTTTTTAAATATAACACATGCCAAATCTATCTACCTTAGAATGGCAAGCACTATACAACTAAAAGCTTAGTAAAAGTTAAAAGCAGAATTTCTACAGATAAGTGAGGAAAGCTATCATTACATTAGGCACAATATAAACACTTCAAATGAAATACAACACTTGTGCTTGAAGGCATAAGTCAGTCCTTGTGTGTTGTTTTATTTTTGCAGTCTCTTCTGAGCCATCAGATTCTAGTCCCCATCAAAAATTAAACATGGAGGGAGTGACTCAAGTGCCTAAACATAGATGTCTAGTACCATACTTGGTACTCTCAAATTATGTGAGACATCTGCATGGGACTGGCAGATACAACACAAGACCTACAGAAGACTTGTGCTTATCTGGAGCAGCAGCTGGAGGTCAGGTGGAAGAGCCCTAGACATCTAAAATGTCACTAACAATATGTATTTAGGTAACTGAATCCCACCTTGGATCAGATACTTCTCTGATTCAGTCTGGTAATTCCTATGTCCTTATGTTTGTATGATGTTACAGTCTTACCTACCTTACCATTGTGAAACATGAAACTGCAACACAGTGCACACCTATTTCAGTGCACACAGCTCAGGTTATTCTGAGATTTATCTTGGACAGCACAGACCAAAAGATCTATGTCAGAGTCGCATGCTGACAGGTTCTTCTCTGATATTCCTTCTCAGAGGAACCAGTGCCAGCTCGCTGCTGTGAATGGGAAGAGATAAAACTTACTTGGAAATCCTCTGGGCTGCAGCCTTTCTGACCACTGCCTGCCTGTGGTTTGCTGGAGGCTTTGGAACCAGCTGAGAAGGCGTATTCTGGGATGGCATCACTTTGTGCAAACTGGGTGTTTTCTGGATACTAGAAGTGGCACTTGATGTCTTGTGGGCATCAGAGCCAGCTGGCATAGGTATATGGCTGGTGCTGAATTGTGAGTAGTTGGCAAAGAGAGTCTGGTAAAAAAAATAAAGAATAAAAAAAAAAAAAAGGAAAATACCACAGCAGTTGGTGATTACCTCTCTCAATATTGCTGAGAGCTGATAGAGGGGGTGACATTTTTATGAGGGAAACCCAGGGCTCTAGGGACAGTCCTACACGTAGAAAGAAGAGTTAAGAGGTCAAATCAGTGAAGCAGTTTTTAGAGCTGAATTTTATACCCTTGGAAGCTGGGACTAGCTTCTAGGAAAGCATTCAAGCTCACTACTGCCACAGAATGATACTTTTCTGGATTAAAAAACCCAAGAGATCCTATCCTCAATCTAATCTTGCAGTGGGCTCCATCCTCAAAGAAGTAAAGCTTTTCTTGCTTTGACTAACTTTCTGCATTTATCTTGCTAAATGATTCTTTGTGTGGGAAGGGGGATTGAGACACAGTTCAAGGAAGGAAAAGAAGGTGGTTATGGGGAAGATGTTACAATGTCAGTTGTTCAGGCTAACCCTGTAGGTGCCTGGAATAACAGAAAGGCTCTAGGGTACCTTCTCTGAAAAAGGGACTTTAGGTCAGCAGCTGACACAAAGGAAATCCCCAGTAATACCAGGGAACAGAAAATATTTATGTTCCTGTAGCAGAAGGGAGAGTAAGTATCTCGGAGACTTGTCACCAGGGACAAAAGAATCCACACGTTGAGACACTGGAGAACTGAGCAGTGGACTGGCAAAGAAATGAGCGGCGAATGGTTCCCACGGGAGCTCTGCAAACTGCTCAACTCTTTTCAGAAAGGAGCAACCTGCAGGGAGTTCTGCCTCGTCTTTCCTCGAAGTCAGTCCGATTCCCAGGGCAAAGAGGCAATACCATAACCATGCAGTTTGGCAGCTAGAGGGCAGTGACAGGAGATGAGGGGAACAGCTGAGCGCTCGCCAGTCACCTCAGCATGACCTTGGGAGCAGCGCCCTTTACTGCATTTGTCCTGCGTTTCTTCTCTGCCGAAAAACACACAAAGCCACAGTGAGTGGGCTCCAGGCTCCAGGCTCTAGAGAAAACCACAGTCTGAGGTTGGCTGAGACTTAGCACACGGACAGGAAAAGCCCCTCTCCCCCGCAATTCTCTGGCAAATGGCAGGGCAGCGGTGTGTGGGAAGGCGTTTCTGACAGGCAGAGCTCTAGGGAAAAAAGGAAGTGCAGGAGCCAAACAGGCCTGTTTCCTAACTAGAGCTCACTGACAAGATGCCCTTGGGCACCTAATCCTTCTTAACCTCTCGCCTCCCAGAAGCTCTACCTTGATCAGAGCTTTCAGATTTTGAATAAGTAGCTAGTACAAGTGCATAAGTCTGGAAAACAGCAGTAACACCCCACCTCCCCCCATCAAAACAAACTAAAATGGAACTTGGTTTAGCCTCTTGCATCTTAGAGTCTGACACATCACCGGGTTGGGACGGAGACCCTCAAGTCACTGCAGCCCTTTCTTTTTCAGGGGTGACATTTCATTGTGCTCTGTTTGATATTATGCTATTTCCTGTAAGTTCTTTTTCTTGTTACTAAAATCACTAAGATCTCAGAGTCCACAAAGCACACAGTCTTAACCCCTTCCCTGTGTTAACATGCAATGGCAAGGAGGTCCATGACTCTAAAGAAACAAAAGCATGGATGCTCTTAACAAAGTCTGATCAGCAAAAGCTGGGCTGAGACCTACCTAAAGAAAGGTCATGGATGTTTTTCTTGGGGGCAACGGACTTCCAAAAAGGCCTTTGTCTCCATGCTGTTTTGAGATTCTGGCTGCTTTACAGGCAAGGATGGGGAGACTGGAAGCTGACACAGACCATAGCTTCTGGATTCAGCTACAAAGTATACTGCCCTGCTGTGAACTCCATGGGGACAGGACAGGAAACCAGGAGAAGCTACTGTGCAAATAAAGAGGGCAGCTGGAGAAAGCAGAGCCTGACCACACAAAGAAAGGGTTGGGAAGATATTTCAGCATATTCAAAAAGTAGGAGAAAGATCTCATCACTCAGGATTCTGAAGAGTCTAGGGACAGCAGAAGCCTAAACAAACCCAGAGGCAGTCCTGAAGCAGGTAGCACCCTATATCTATTGCTGCTGTAAGTAAAGCACTTGGAACCACACTTCCCAGGCTGGCAGATCTAACTTGATGTTGAGAAGACATTTGCTTCCCCAACAAGTTCTTAGGGCTACAAACCTGAAAAATAATTAGAACACCATGAGGCTTTTTAGTTAAAAATCATATACAGCATTCTAATTCTCCTGCATAATTTTCTGGGGAGGTAGGACAGCACTAACCCTGTCTTGAACATGATGAATGTTAGCACTGACAGAGAAAGTAATTTCCCCTAAGCCACAGACCGAAGCAATATGAAAAGCTAGGTTGAGAGCTCAGAGAAGATCCCGACTCCCAGGCTCATATTTGCCTCATTAGCCAGCAGCAGCTAAGCTCAGGCTGCTCATGATTAAAAGCAGGGTAGTACTTTGAAGAACTGCAGATATATTAATGATCTTCAAAACCAGAAAGAATGTTCCTGGCACTTACCATCCCTGTATCTAACACCCATCCCCAGCAGAGTAATGGAACAAATGTTGCAAGCAAAAACATGTTCATTCTGTGACCAGAGGAGGTAATGAAGCTCATTTCCTGTGAATCTGTCTTGGGGCTGAACCTTACAGTATCTAATATAAAGCATGCCCCAAATTATGCTTCCTTTCATGGGTTTGGGGCATTCTCACATTGATTTTCTGCTGTCTAATTAGGAGTGGCCTCAAGCTGCAGCCTTTACCTTAATCGGAACAGCAGTTGAATCCCCTTTCCAGATACATGGCTTGTTATTTTCATAAAATTTATATGAAACATAGCCATGAGATTTCCATTTCATACTCATTCAGTTTAAATTTGGATCACCAAGTCTGAAAACAATGAGAGACTCACCAATATATGAGTACTGACAGACAGATGCACACACGTGTATTGCATAAAGATCTGTGCAGCTAGTTCCAAATCACAAGCACTGGAAACTGAAATGTTTATAAGCAATAAACAATGATGAGGATTTAAGTTTTTAAAAAAGAAAAAAAACCCAACCAACAAACCAAACAAAATAACCCCACCACTTTTGGAAAAGCAACTGTATTTCAGATGACATTGCAAAAATACAGAGAATTAAAAGGCTTGAAAGACCTTGGGAGTCATGCAAGTTGTTTGATGATTATTTTGAACACATATTAATGCATTCAATTATATCAGTTTGGATACAATAATCAGTTGAGTTGAAAATTCACAAAGCAGAAATCAAGAACAGGCTCAAAATACACTATTAACTGCCATAGTGCTGAACTGCAGTAAGAGGAGCATCTTGGGTCATTAAGAAATTTAAAGAAGTGGAAAAAATTCATGATATGCACAGACTGTCCTGAAGCATGTGTTCCTTGGTAAATTCTTTAAAATGAGACTAAAATATACTATAACAAGTTGACATGGTGCCTTCCCCTTTGTCTCTCTTTTGGTACTGGGACCTCTCTAGGGCAAGGACTGGGCCGTAAAATTGTATTGGAAAGATACTTAACACATCTGGGCATTGCCATAATTCTAATAATAGTGACAGGATCAGAAACTTGGGGACAAAATTTCAGCTGGTATAAATCAGCACAGACTACTGCTTTCAGAACAGTTGTTCTGCTTTACTTAGACTGAGACTTTGACTCATCAGTATCACAAGACTCAAATAGGAAAAATGGCAGTTGGTACATTTAGTGGGAAAACAATCTGAGGGACAAAGCTGCAAAAGAATAATGAGCAAGAGGCTGAAGGGAAAGAGAGACTACAAATCTGACAGCAGTCCAATACATAATAGTTTAGAAAACAGTTTAATGATGCTTAAGGCTGTATTCAAAGGGGCCTTGTGTCTTTAGGCAGGAATAATATAGTTCTAGGAATACTAGGAATATTATCCTGAATACTCAATGTTCCCAGTCAGTTCTAAATAAACTGCAGGGAATTCAGATGAGAGTCACATACATTAAAAGAACACAATTTTGCTGAACTTTATAAAATGAGGAATATTTCAGATAGCATGCCATTTTTTAAATGATTGAGAGAATTATTTAAGATTAACTTAGCCCAGTGTTTTCTAGCACAAAATCCACTTAAACTTCTGATTGGACATGTGATTGTAACTGATCACACAACTCATTAACATGATGTATCTATGGTTTAACATAAGCTTTTTTGATATAAGCAGGACTGATGGGGATCATTCCACTATATGACTGTACTTTCCTTGTTTTAATTTAGCTTTTTTCCCATGTGAAATGTTTGGCACAAAATTCTAAACCCAGTACATGCTAGGCTAAGTAGACAGAACATAGCCACACAGAAAAGGAGGGACCTCCCTAACAGCTAATGTCATCTTTTCAGTACAGGAAACAATCAGAGAATAAACAATGATGGTATATTAGCTGCCTTGCCAACTGCAGCAGTGATACTAACATCTAGGTCATAATGTGTCACATGAAGTCCTTTTAAACATTAAAATACTGCTATAAGCTTGTTTTTCTTGTCTTTTGGTTTGATTTTGTAATTCTTGTTCCTTGATTTTGTTGATAGCAGAGCAACAAAAGCTTCTTGTCTCCACTTTCAAACTCTGCCCCTTTCAATTTTTTTTTTCTTTTCTCAGGTTCTGTATTATCTCTGTTCTCAGGCCCTACCACTGTATCCATTTGTTTGTTAGGTTCTCATCCAGTCAGTTTGGTGTTTTTCTTTTTGTCCAGGGAATAAAGTACCTATTCTGGCATCTAAGATCCATTTCCATCACACTACACTGCATGAACTAACTTCCACATACAATGAATGAAAATTGTTGGTTATTATTCCTCTTCCTCCACCTACACAGTGTTTGCTACTCTGCAAATTGTTAAATGCCTGGAGGAGAAATCATCACTCTTAAGTGTCTGGAAAGTGCTCAACTAAGAGTGGGTGCTGCCACAAAGAAGCACACAGTAAGGCTCCATGATAAAATACATCCACTGCATGGCAATGGAGGCATTCCTATTACACAAATACTTGTCTAGGAACTTCCATGCTTTCGAATGCATCCATATCATCTCCAGCATACTGAACTGGTTAATGTACAGGCAGAAGCATTTGCCTGTGTTATTAATCATGGTGCTTCTGTAATTTGTTCACATGCTAGCCATATGCATATGACTTGTACATTTGTCACAGACAGAAAGGAAGACTGGCATGTAGTCATCTTGTATGGTCATGTTATACTCAAGGTGTGTCTTGAGATACGTTAATAAATGCACTTCAGCTACTGACAAATGGCTAGCATGCCTTCCAACCATAACACGAACTTGAAAAGTCAGATGGAAGAGGCTTGGAGATATCCTGTATGCATTCCCCAAAGTAGAGAGATCATGACAGTCTTTCAAGTGATAGGCTTTCTGTTTTGGGGGATATATTTCTTCTGTTGAGAGGAGGCTGAGCAACTTAAATGCAGCAGGCAAGACAGCAAAGGATG